ATATATATATATATATATATATATATATATATATATATATATATATATATATATATATATACATACATATATTCTAGTATAATACATTTTAGATGAAGTTAGGGCAAAGAGTTTAAAATATCACATTTATACAGTTGATTGGTTATAACATTTGCTAGCCAAAACGGGTTTAATATTTTTGTATGTTAGGGTGAATTCAGGTAAATTCGGCCATAGAGATGTTTGGGAAATGGCCCCATTATCTTTAATTAACTCTACCTTTTATATTTCATTATTCATAAATGTTTAACTGTTTTTAAATTTTGCTGAAAATGCTGCTATAAAATATGCTATTTAATGGCAGGTACCATGTGATGTGACAACTTGCCCCACATAGTGCGTCAACAATGCAAGTATAGCTAGAAGTTGTGAAATAATTTGATCTTAATATCCTGAACTGTAATGTTTTTTGGAGAAAAACATGTAATATTTGTATGTAGAATGCAAATGCTCTTATCCCACTTAGTCTGTTTTTTTTTAATACACAAAGGTTGGAAATTTTGCTGAAAGTGAAAAAAAATTCATAAGTGACAAGCCCACCCACGTATGGGTCAATTATCTAATTTTCTAATTAATAATGCATGGCAACCTCCTTCTGTTGGAAATAATTTATTTCACACTTACCTTAACAAGCTCGCTGAGCTGTGCTGAGCATGACTAACAAGCTCCTCTCTGCTTGCCTTGATTTCCTGTCACCATTCAATTGGGATTGCTATATTTACTCTACGAAGATTCATGGCATGCTTTCTTAGGAAGAATGTCTATAAAGAATTGTAATGCAAATATGAGCTATTCTTGTGAACTGACCTGACTCTCAGTCGAGTAATGCACACATATGACTCTTCTGGTTTGTGACCGTGACAAACGTGTATCTGTCTCTCTGACGGCAGAGGGAAAGAGTGGATGCTGATGCATCCACACAAGAGAATGAAGCTCATGTAAAACACTTCTGCTCCAGTTAATCCTGCTGTAGTGAGTATTCTCTAAAATATGTAGATTTAGCAGGGGAATCTTCTGATTTTAAAACAGCGTCAGGAAGCGATTAAGTGAATTCAGGAGCAATGTATGTTAACTGATCTCTGAAATAAAGCCTGCTACCTTCTCTACGAATGTATGCAAATAAAAAATGAGATGCAGGCTTTTAGAATACATCATAATGCAATATGTATCCTATTCCAACAATGCAAGTATGTGTTGCATTTTCACTGTTGCTGCAAAGGGCCCTATAATGGATGCTAAAGCCTAAAGCTAGTTTCATGACTAATAACACATCCAGTTTAGTGACCCACACCTTTCATAGTACGGTAACTCTATCGCACTCTGAGATTTGTTAACGCAATAGCAACCTTTCCTTTCCTTTTCACTTCCTTTGCCCTTTACTTGTTGTCTTCTTTTACCTTTACATTTTCCTTTCCTTTTCCATATTTTCCCATTTCTTACCTGGTTGTAGTTTCCTTTTTTTTGCTTTTTAAATTCTCCTTCATTTTTCCTTTGCGTTGTCCTTTCCCCTTCTTTTTCTTTCCCTCCGTCCTTTTCATTTTCCTTTTCCTTTCCTTTCCTTTCCTTTTTAGATGACTCCCACCCTACTTTCTTTATAGA